TTAACACATGATGAAGCAATCAGAATTCAATAAAAGGGTCTGAAGAATCAAAGGGGAATTATATAGCATAGCCGGTTTGACTCAGTGGATAGAGCATCAACCTGCTTACTCAAGGGTCCCAGGTTGGATTCCGGTCAAGGACACATGCCCAAGTTGTGGTTCAGTTCCCAGTGAGGAGCATGCAGGAGGAAGCCAATCAATGGTCTCTTATCATTGATGTTTCTATCACTTTCTCCCTCTTTCTTCCTCCCTGAAATTAGTTAAAAAATATTTAAAAACAGCCGAGACCGGTTTGGCTCAATGGATAGAGCGTCGGCTTGGAGACTGAAAGGTCCCGGGTTCGATTCTGGTCAAGGGCATGTACCTTGGTTGCGGGCATATCCCTAGTGGGGGTGTGCAAGAGGCAGCTGATCGATGACTCTCTCTCATCGATGTTTCTAACTCTCTATCTCTCTCCCTTCCTCTCTGTACAAAATCAATAAAATATATTAAAAAATATTTAAAAGCAAACTAACAAACAAAACAAAACAAAGTGGAATTATAATAGGAAATCTATGGAAAAAGTGTGTCAAGTGAGTGAAACAACATAAAGCCATTCACATTATTTCTTTTTCTTTTTCTTTTTTATAGATAGGAAGGGAGAGGGATAGAAAGCTAGAAACACCAATGAGAAACATTGACCAGCTGCCTCCTGCACACCTCCCATTGGGGATGTGCCTGCAACCAATGTACGTGCCCTTGACCAGAATGGAACCTGGGACCCTTCAGTCTGCAGGCTGACACTCTATCCACTGAGCCAAACTGGTTTAGGCTCACATTATTTCTTAACTATAGAAGTTGAACCCTGACAAATCTGTCATTACATGTGCAATGGAATTGACATTGTACCCTGGACTACAGTCGTTTGGGTGGGAAGAGGGGGATTCCTCTAGAGAAAAAAAGAATTGGAAAAATATTAAGACTAAGAAACATGCTCATGGTGTAGAAAATTTCCTTCTTTTTATAATTGGCTACTAAAATCTGACAAGTATCAGAAAAAAGAAGTCTACTTCAATCAGAGAGAATCTTCAGTCTCTTTGGGTTCTGCTTTTGCTGATAGGCTGAGGTACTGGTGAAAGAATTTCCTCATCACAGCTGCGTAATGCAGTGACAATTCCCTGGGTCAGTGGTTGACAAACTCATTAGTCAACAGAGCCAAATATCAACAGTACAACGATTGAAATTTCTTTGGAGAGCCAAATGCCACTTCTTCAAAATAGACTCACCCTGGCCGTGGTATTTTGTGGAAGAGCCACACACAAGGGGCCAAAGAGCCGCCTGTGGCTCTCGAGCCGCAGTTTGCCGACCACGGCCCTTGGGTGAATGGCAGGGAGGGTTTCTAAATGAACCATCATCAGAGACTTCAGAGCTAGGAAGGGCTCATCACCAAAGCCTGGAAAATCACTCCTTGTGGCTTAAAGGGTATCAATTACACTGCCCGGCAAATCACTTGGGAACTGTCTGCTTCACCTGAAATTCTGGAAAGGACTGACTTTCTAAAGCAGGTGATTTGTCACATTTCTTTGGTTAAAAAAAAAAAAAAAAAATGGACTGGTGGGTCAGTTCCTCATGCCAAGGAGAAAAGAAGATGCCCGGAGGCCAAGAAGACTAAATAGGAAGGAACCCAGTTGAAACTGGACTAGGCCAGAATTTTGTGACTCTAACGTCGCTTTTATTGTGGTTCCTTAAAATCAGAAATATATTCTGTGGTAATTTGACTTTATGCTTTCTGCATATCTATTCTTTTGTTTAAGTTAAAAAATATGAGAAAGCTATTTTTTCAGCTTTATTGAGATGTGACTGAAATAAAATTGTTAAGATATTTAATGTTTACAATGTGATGATTTGATATACATACGTACTGTGAAAGAATTCCTTTCATCAAGTTAGTTTACACATCTGCAACCTGACATATTAACCCTTAAAATTTTCTTTTTTTTTTTTTTTTGGTGAGAACATTTAAGTTCTATTCTTTTAGCAAATTTCAATTATACAATACTCGTGGCCAGGTGCATGAAATTTGTGCATAGGAGTAGTGGGTTTGTACCCCTTAGCCCGACCTGCACCCTCTCCAATCTGGGACCCTTTGGGGCATGTCCAACTACTGGTTTAGGCCCAATCCCTGACAGTCAACATCCTTCTCACAATCCAGGACCGCTGGCTCCTAGCTGTTCACCTGCCTGCTGGCCTGATCCTCCTAACTGCTCTTCCCTGCTGGCCTCATCGCCCCTAACTGCCACTGCCTTGGCCCAACCACCATGACTTTGTCCGGAAGGATGTCTGAAAGACATCTGGTCTAATTAGCATATTACCCTTTTATTAGTATAAATTTCTGTTAGTGTATGCTTAATTTCTGAATGGTCCTTTTTCATATCTTTGACATTCTCACTAAGATCCTTGAAGGTCTCATGAAGATCCTTGAGTAACCTTATAACCATAATTTTGAACTCCGTACCAAATAGTGTGCTTGTTTTCATTTTTCATTTGTGACATGTTTCTTTGCCTCCACAATTTGGCTGCTTCCTAGTGTTTGTTTCTATGTATTAGGTAGAGCTGCTATGTCTCCTAGAATTGGTAGTGGCCTTGTGTATTAGGTGTCTTGTTTAGAGCCCCATCACACAGCCTTGCCAGACCTGAGCTAGGCACTCTAGGTGTGCCCCTGTGTGGGGTGTGTGCTACTATCGTGTAGTTGAGCCTTGATTGCTGTTGGTCTCACTGGGAGGAGTTGACTTCCTGGCCGATTGGCTGTGAGGACCAGCTGTGACTACAGTGGGAGAGCTGCTGTGCAGGAGACATTGCTATGGAGCAGAACTTACTTCGGTGGGGCTTTGGTGCTCACTGAGTCTGCCTCTGGAGTGAGTCACTTGTGGATGTGTAAAATTGTAATCTGCTATGGTTGGAACATAAGTTATTTAGAAATATTGTTAATGATTCAAATTGGAAACAAAAACTTCACACCATTCCTCTTTTAAGGAATATATAGAAATTGGGAGGTGAGCTGTTAAAAAAGCTGTTATATTTGCAACTATGTATGTGGAAAAAATCAGAATTTTCTTCTTATTGTTACCATTAAAACAAAATATGGAAGTAAATGATCTACAACTGTAGTTGTAAATGTGTGCATAAGCTTAATCATTCTTATTGACTCCCCCCCCCCCAATAAATACAAGTTATTTTTATTATGTAAGATTTAAAACTGGGCTGAGTTACTGGTTCCCAATTGAGGCGATCTCTCTTTCTCTCTCTCTCTCTCTTTTTTTTTTAAATACATTTTTATTGATTTTTTTACAGAGAGGAAGAGAGAGGGATAGAGAGTTAGAAACATCGATCAGCTGCCTCTTGCACACCCCCTACTGGGAATGTGCCCGCAACCAACGTACATGCCCTTGACTGGAATTGAACCCCGGACCCTTCAGTCCGCAGGCCAACGCTCTATCCACTGAGCCAAACCAGTTTCGGCTGAGGAGATCTCTTAAAGCCACAAAATAATTAGTGATTATTATTAGGCCCATATAGTTGAGTCAAATAAGTTATATAGACTATACAAAGATGTGTATTCTCACAACTGAAAACAACAACAACTAGACTTCTGAGGATTTGTAACATGAAATCTATACCTGTATCTATATCCAACCTAAACAGGTAGAAAATTGGAACCTTTGCGTTTGTTGTGAATTTGGACAATGAGAAATGTAATAAAGCATGTTTAGTCTAAGCAGAGTCATTCATGTACCTTTGGTACATAGGACTGAATAAGTCTTTTTGTCAGTAATCATGCCTGAATTGTTAGACCTTGGTTATCTTTATTTTGCACATTGATCCTATTGGTTAATGTGAGGGATATTTATGTTTTTTTTTCTGATTGATTCCATTTCAGCAGTAGAGAGGGGATAGAGGGGGACAGCCTGAAGCATATGATAATTGGGTCTAGGTATAGGAAAAGTGAATTTAAGCAAAGAAGGAAAATCATCAATGAGAGAAATCTTAGAATTGGCATGATCAAGACAGACAAAATGATTAATGGTATAAGATCACACAAATACTATTTGTTTATTTTTGAATTTAGACTTGTGTTTTCTCTGAGAAAAATTTCTCACCCTGTTCTCAGATGTCAGTGTGATGTGGTATGAAGATTTAAAAGATATCAGGTGAAAGTCAAATTTCTAATGTCTAGTATAGTGCCAGGCACCTGGTAAATATTTGTCTAAAAATTAATAAATAATTGCTATCTTCAGTGTGTGATTTTATTGTCCTAATAGAAAGCACATTTAACTGGAAACTCTGCAAGTTTCCTAGGAATGCTGTTTGGGGTTGTGGGAATGTTAGTTTAGACCAGGATGGATTTAGGTAAAAGGTCCATCTGGCTTAAAAGTCATATTTTGAAAGAAATTTTTTTTTTTTTAAGCAGTAAATCCCAACAGGGTGCTTAAAATATTTGGTAAACCAGGTTGTAAACATAAATGCTGTTATCCAGGCTTTGTTCCAGTTATATAGCCCAGGCAGAGTAGGTTTAGCATCATTCTTAAGGGCTCTAGGATTTGTGGAATGGTAAATGAGCATTGGATTTAATTTAGAGTCAACAGCTGTCTGAGTCATCGACAAGGAAGTCAACCTGTCCTTGGAAGCTTCGAAGCTTTGAAGGCAGGCATTGACTTCCCTCTAGTTATAAGTTCTTATTGACTTTCTAAGTAAAATATTTTAAATATGACTTTGCTAAGTATTTTGTATATTTATTAAATACTATGTTTAACTTATTCTACATTTTGGAATTTCTCATAACATTTTATTTGGAAAGAGTCTTATACAAATATCAAATGGTAAAAATGGAAGAGGACAAATGATAACTAGAGATTGTGGATATATCTTCTGCAATCCTTGGAGGAAAGAAAGGTGACCTTTGAGTGGTTTCAGATCAAGCATGGGGATGGGAGAATAGAAAAGATAATTTATTTCACACAGTGTTTTTCTGCATCAGTGATTTTAATATGGATTCTTAGTGGTGACCAACAACTAGTCAAATAATTTTCTTTTTACACACTCTGGATTCTGACCTAGTGAATTGAGGTTTCAGCCCTCTTCCTCCATCTCTTTCTTGATCCAGTCCAGGTAATTGAGTAACTTGGTGTAGAAGCCATACCCATTGCCACACCCGATGCCCCAGGATACTATGCCTGTGGCGACCCAGCGGTCAGTACCATCATCCCTCACAGCAAAGACCCCTCCACTATCCCCCTGACAGGCATCACGCTTTTGCGTCGGGTCCCCAGCACAGAACATGCTTTGTGAGAACACATAGTTCTTTTTTTTACCCTGAAGCCACTTCTCACATAAATTTCGGTCACCTACGGGCAGCCGGACATACTTGAGCTCGGTAACCATCTTGTCCTCCGTGATCCCAAAGCCACTGACATAGCCCATTTGCTTTGAAGCATAGAAGGTCTCCTTGTCAGGGAGGCAGATGGGGAGGAGGTTGGGGCCCAGGGTGACACTATTTTCCAGTTCTAGGAGGGCGATGTCCCCCTCAAAATTCTGGGACTCATCCTTGCGGTAGTCTGGGTGGACCCTGACCCTGCGTACAGGGTGGTTTCCTAGTTTCATGATTTCTTCCACTTTTGTGTGGCCCAGAAACACGTCTATGCTGGTATTGGCTTCTGGGTTGTGTCCCTTGGGGTAGAGGGTGTGGGCAGCTGTGAGGATCCAGCGGTCACCCAACAGGGCCCCACCCCCTCGCCCATAAATGTTGGTGAATGCCTGCCAGGGGAAGCTGCCCATCTCCGCGGATTCCCCTGCAATGATGCGCTGCGACGGGAGGAGGTGGACAGGGTTGACGGGTTTCCCACACACTGGAGAGGAGAGACAGCAAAGTCAAGAACAAGTCCATTCTAGGCCCGCCCCTCTGCCCTCCTGTGGTCAGCCCATTCCCCTTTCATCCTCTCTTATTGGCTCTGGGCCCTTTCCTCTGTCTCCTCCCATTCCAAGAGCTCCATCTCTGGCCTATTGTCAGACTGTTCTGCTTGTTCTTGTTTATTTCTTCTTGTCTTTTTATTTATTTTTGTCGTTGCTGTTTTTATTTCTGATTTCCCATCTGCTCAAAAAAAAAATAAATAAAAATAAAATAAAAATAAAATAAATGCTGGAATGTCAGGCCTGCATCCAGTTCTCTGTATTTCTCTCTCTTTTTCTCTCTTACTCCTCATGTCTATTTTCAACTTCAAGGTGGGGTGTCTCTCCACTCACTTTGCCTCCATTCTTTGTGGATGCTTTTTCTGATGCTCTAGTCTACAGGGTTGCAAAGTCACCAAGGATGTCTCCAGAGGGTTTCCACTCACCTGGCAAACACCGAGGAATCTTCTCTCCTTCCTGCTCATTCTTCCAAATGCCCTGGGCTGTGCAGGTATACACGCCTGCGGGGAGAAGGGGCTATGGTCAGGTTGGGAGGAGGTGGGCAGGGAAACCAGGTTGCAGAGGCCAATGAGCACTGAGTGTGTTGGGCCAAGGCAGGGGAGAATCAGTGTGGGCAAGTATCAAGGGAAAGATTCAAATATATATGAGGGTGGACTATAAAAAGTGTGAAGAGGCTTCATACATATACTTTTGTTTTAATGTTACATGAAAGTATTGGAATACTTAACTATATGTTTGATGTGATTTAAAAAAAAAATATATATTTTTATTGATTTTTTACAGAGAGGAAGGGAGAGGGATAGAGAGTCAGAAACTTCAATGAGAGAGAAACATTGATCAGCTGCCTCTTGCACACACCCCTCCCCCCCCCCACTGGGGATGCTCCCGCAACCAAGGTACATGCCCTTGATCGGAATCGAACCTGGGACCCTTCAGTCCGCAGGCCGATGCTCTATTTACTGAGCCAAACTGGTCTCGGCTGATGTGATTTCTATTTGTGAAAATAGAGCCCTAACCAGTTTGGCTCAGTGGATAGAGGGTCAGCCTGTGGACTGAAAGGTCCCAGGTTTGATTCCAGTCAGGGGCATGTACTTGGTTGTGGGCACATTCCAGTGGGGGGTGTACAGGAGGCAGCTGATCAATGTTTCTCTCTCCTCAATGTTTCTAACTCCTTCTCCCTTCCTCTCTGTTAAAAAAAAAAAATCAATAAAATACATAAAAAAAGAAGAAAATAGATTTTGCCAGAGTCTTGATATCTTGGTATCTTGGTAGTGGGATTGCAGACAATAATGGCAGCTACATTTCTGATTGCTGACAATGTGCCATGCTTGTTGCTAAGCATTTTATCTCATTATCTCATTTAAGTGCCCCAGTGACACTTTCAGGTGTGCATTATTATCCTCCACATTTTAAAGATGAGGAAACTGAACTTAAATTAGGTACATAAGGTCACATAACTTCTAAGTTCCAGAACCAAGATTCAAAGTAAGGGTTGCCTGACTTCGAAGTCCAACTCTTAAATTATATTGTATATAACACATATATAAGATTTTTTCCCTGAATGTTTCAAACCAGAAGTAAGGGATTTCTTTTATTTAAAGATACCATAGATGAATTTGAGAGCAATTAAGCAAAACTAACAACAGAATATCACAACATAGCAGCCTGAGGGTGTGTGGGGAGAATGCTGGGGGAGGTCCCACTGATATGACTGTAGTGGTGGTGATGGTAGTAATGGTGGTGATTATGATGGTGTTTTGTTGTTGGTATTAGTGGTGATGGTAGTGATGACAGTAGTGGTGTGGTGGTGGTGGTCATGATGGTTATGGTGGTGATGATAGCAGTGATGGTGAAGGTGGTTGTAGTGGTGGTGATGGTGATGGATATGACGGTGATGGTGGTGGTGGTGGCAATAGGGAGCTGACTTTTAATGAGATTCAAGTCTTTCTTTGTCACTCAGGTGTTTCCTTCTTCAGCATGACCAAGTGCCTCTTGGCACTGTACTTTAGGACCCTGAACCAGGTGTTTTGGGCAGCCACTTTACTATATATTCCACAGGGATTCAATTAGAAGAAATTTCAGAAGATGTCTTGAGAAGATAGAAGGGAAACATTGCCATTTGCATGGGTCCCTACCTTGCTCAGACTCGCTGCTACCATCTCTGGTCTTCATCTTGTAATACGGTTCATTGCAGTAGTACTGGATACGGGCCTGGTAGGTGTTTACCCCCTTTGTGGTGGTATAATTGAAGGCTCCATTACGCAGGCTCCGGGGCTGCCCACAGTCCTTGACTGGGAGAGAACACACACAGGGCCACATGAGAGTTGATGATGACGGCTGGAACTTCGGTGAGAGGAATGTGAACTGTCTACCCACAGAACAGGCTGAGGACTTTAGAAAAACAAGTTTCTCTATTGGAGGGGCACTTGGGATGGATGAGACCTAAATGGACGGAAGTTCAGTCCTGAGCAGAACCCATCAATCCTATTGAGACGAGGGTTGCCTGGTTCCTGAGATGGCCATAGGCTTTAAAGAACAAACCAACGGGAGGGTGTTTTGGGAAAAGGCTTACTTCCAGACTTCTTCCCCCTTCCCTTCTCAGCCTGGGTCCCCCTGGCCGGGTGGTGGGAGACACGTCCTGAATTGTGACTTACTCTTGCACCTGGGCATGGCACGATGCCACGTGCCGTCATCCTGGCAGACAGCTGTGAAGGAGAGCAGCTCCTGGTTCCCCTGTTTGAGTAGAGGTGCTATTAATAAAGGAGGCACTGCAGCTCCCACCTTGCCCTTCCCCACATGGCAGGTAGTGCAAAGACAGTTCTCAAACTCTCAGACATCAGCGCCCCTGTGGATGTGGCTCTTTCATCCTTCTCCCTAGCCAGGATGCTCAGACCAGAGTTATACATGGGAGCACTGAGTCATACAGGAGAAAGTCAGAGAAAGGGCTAATTGTCAGACCCAATAATCCTCTCTCTAGAAAGACTCTTGTCTATTTCCACTGAAGTCTAGTTGAATCCCACAATTTTATTTATTTATTCACTTTATTTAACAATTCTTTCCATTATAGTTGATATTCAGTATTATTTTTATTTGCTTCAGATATATAGTATAGTTGTTAGACAATTATATAATTTACAAAGTGATCCCCCTGATAATTCAAGTACTCACCTGGCACCATACTTAGTTATTACAATACTAGAGGCCCAACGAACAAAATTTGTGCATGGGTAGGGTCCCTAGTGGCTGCCCACCAGGGCCTCTTTTCATTCCCGCTGCCCCTCGTGGTCAGCACATGTCATAGTGAGCGATAGAACTCCCAGTTGGTTGAACTCCCGAGGGGACACTGCATATTAGGCTTTTTTAAAAAATATATATTTTTATTGATTTTTTTTTTTTAACAGAGAGGAGGAAGGGAGAGGGATAGAGATTTAGAAACATTGATGAAAGAGAAACATTGACCAGCTGCCTCCTGCACACCTCCTATGGGGGATGTGCCCGCAACCAATGTACAATACATGCCCTTGACTGGAATCAAACTAGGACCTTTCAGTCCACAGACCAACGCTCTATCCACTGAGCCAAATCGGTTTGGCTAGGCTTTTATATATCTAGATTATTGACCATATTCCCTATGTACTGTACGTCCATTTGAATTACTCCTGGGCCAGCTCTCTCCCTCAGCCCTGGGCTCTTACCTCCATAAGCTGGTAGCCTTGTTTGCAGGTCACGATGAAGTAATCACGGAATTGGTACTGAGGCTGCAGACTCTGGATGATGGTGAACTCGTCTAGGGTTTTGGGCTGGGGGCACTTGATGACTGTGGCGGAGACCAAAGGATGAGTTTACTTCAGAGCCACTTGCCTTCATTCTCCCTGCCTGATCCTGCCCCATTGCTGGTCAGCGAAGGAGGCCCGCAGGCAACCTTACTTGAAGTGGTGTAGTGCAGCTTCCAGCCCCGGCTGTCCCCTGACTCGTCCGTGAAGAACAGCAGATCCACAGCGTTGCTGCTGGTGTCAAGGTCAGCGGGTCTCTGCTTCCCACAGAACTCGCCGATGTTCCTCCCACTGGTGTAGATCTGGTGGGGTAGGAGGGAGGGTCATCTCTCCAATGCAGACATTTCCCCATAGGCGTGGGGTGGTGGTGGGAATCTTGCTTTATGCTTGTTTTCAGCTGGAGGGGAAAAGGGATCCCCAGGACCCACTTCCAGATGTACAGGAGCTTTCCCAGCCCATGTGTGATGCTGGACATTCCTGTCCCAATTGGCCAGAGGATCCAGCAGGCAGTAGGGATTAAAAAGAACCCAAGTGGGAATGGGAAGGAGAGGGAGGGGTTTCTCTGAGGGTGGGATAGCTTTACCTGTAGCTGGTCATAGGGGCAATGTACTTGCTGGTGGTCATCGATTTCAAAAGGCTCCAGGAACTTGAGGTGGATGGTGTAGCCCCGCTCCACCCGGATGCTGTAGTTGCAGCGCAGGTCAGGAGGGTAGGGCTGGGGGTACTCCAGGCTGGACACGTAGCCTGATGGCTCTGTGTACAGCTCGCTGCTGCATTCAACTGTGAGAGCACAGCCGGGAGAGGGTCACCAGGAGACTCTTTGGCTGGCCCAGCAAACTCTTGTTAGCCTTTACCTCTCTCCCACAGCACCCAACCTCACCCTGGCAGGAATGTCCGTCCTTCTGAAGCTCATAGCCCGGACGGCAGGAACAGAAGTAGCCGCCAACGTAATTGTGACAAAGCTGTTGGCACCGGGGCTGGGGATTCTTCTCAACTGTGTTTTGCTGGGAAGCACATTCATCGAGGTCTGGAAGAGATTCCGGGAGGATTAAATTCCTGCCAGGGGACTTCTGTAGCGCTGTTGGTCTCAGAGCGTCTCTCACCAGAGGCCACAAGACCACGTTAGCTCCTGCCACCTGGACCTCTAGGCCTCTCTAATGCTTTCTGGGAGCTACCCGATGGGGACAGAGCCCAGGTTGGAATACCTCTTCTGGAAAAAGCTCTCTCAAGGGGGAAATGAGGAAGGCCAGGCTTCCTGCTTCTTTGTATTCAAGAGTCCCTCTTCCCAGTTCCCATTCAAAATGACGGAGGCCTTCTAAAGGGTACCTGGGGACCACTCACCCACAGCTTGGTAGTAGGCCAGGAAGCCTTTGTAGAACATGACGGTGCCATTCTCCTCATTGGAGAAGTCTGTGTGGAAGGTCAGCAGCATCTTGTTTCCTTCGGATATAAATGCCTTTTCTCCTGGGGGGTTGCCCAGTGGAGAACCCAGTTGCCCACAGAACCTCCCGAGGGTTTTCTTATCAGCAGAAATCTGGTGGAGGAAGGACAAGGAGTAGAAAGAAGGGCCGTTGAGACATGTTCCATGTGGATAGTCAGTGATGGTCCTCCTAATCTTAGCCAAAGAGTGAATAAGTCCCACTTCTGGAATGGCCTCCAACTCATCTCCACCTGCTGGGCTCTGGCTGTCGCAAACTTCCCCAGGTGACTTTCATCTGGCACCTGAGTCTCCCATTGGCTAGCTTTTTTCATGTTCTCCTGTGCCCCTCCTCTGTATATGTGCCCCAAGCATGTTTCAGACTTTTCTTCATTCCCACCCCTTCCAATGAAATCCTGATTGCCTCTAGCCAGCCTTTATTTTTCCTTCATTCTTAGAACCTGGACTGATCTGCTTTAATTTCTATCCTGTTATTGGACCTCACCTTATTCAAACCACTCCCATCCAGTCTTGTCTCCTGATACACATAGCTGAATGTGAGCCGCAGGGGCCCACCGGCGTTAGCATCGGCAAGCATCCCGCAGCTTTCCTTATTTCTTTCTTCACGATTCATTAACCCATCAAAAGCACATGCCCTTTCCCCAACCCAATTCCTCACTATCCTGGCCACCAAGACCCCTCCCCCAACACAGCAAACTTTCCAAGTCCTTTGCACTAGGAAGATGTAACTTTTTCGTGTTATTCTCTCACCACCCCCTGAGAATGATATTTATTGGATGTGAGTAGGTTCTGTTTGGATCCTGAATCTAGAATCTCATTTTTATTGGATGCAGAAAGATGGGACTGGGAGGGTACCCTTAGTTATTACAGAGGAGAGGGGACTGAGTCCATTGTCCTTGCTGAAGACTATGCTTGAGCTACAATCTCACACACTTTCTTCCCCTGTTTCTGTGCTCCTGATGAGGCAGGCAGTCATGGTGATATTCTCCATGGAAACAGGAAAACTGAGGCACAGCAGTTTCTCAAAGACACCCATCAAGGAAACAGATGGGGAAGGTTTTTCTGAATCCTGTAGAAGGTACATTTCTTTTTTTGGGGGGTGGGGGGGACAGAACTTTTTTTTTTTTTAAAATATATTTTATTGATTTTGTACAGAGAGGAAGGGAGAGAGATAGAGAGTTAGAAACATCGATGAGAGAGAGTCTTCGATCAGCTGCCTCTTGCACACCCCCTACTGGGGATATGCCCGCAACCAAGGTACATGCCCTTGACCGGAATCGAACCCGGGACCCTTCAGTCCCCAAGCCGATGCTCTATCCATTGAGCCAAACCGGTCTTGGCAGAAGGTACATTTCTTGAGAGTGGGGACTGTACCTTCCTTCCTCTGTGTTTCTCTCCCACAGTGCTCACTGAGGGCCTCTAAGACAGGTGGACACCATTCATGGCATCACCCGACTTCCAGAACTCCACTTGGCCATCAGCTCTTACAGGGCTGGAGCTGTGTCCATGGTGGGGAATGTAACCAGGGTGGTTAGAACACAAGTCCTCATGCTGCAGAGCCACCCAGCTCTCCCTCTGCCCTCCCAACCTCACCTCTTACCTTGACATAGTCATAGAAACAGCCTTCAGAAGGCTCCAGGTCAAACTGCCAGAAGACGAGCTTCACCCGGTAGCCCTTGGAGACAGTGATCACAGTGGTTGTTTCAAAGTTGTTGGGGTAAGGCTTGGGGTACAGAGGGGAAGTCACCTCCCCATAGAGTTCCTGAGCGATGGGCACAGAGCCTCCCACCTTGCAGAACAGGACTGACACCAGGAGGTATAAAAGCCACCTGCCAGAAAGAAGGAGGGTGTCTAGAAGGCTGTTTGGGCAGTGACTGTGGTGGTGGTGGGGGTGGGATAGTCATACCGCTGACCATTTTTCCTCTGCTCGTTCTAGACCTCACGGGTGTTCCAGGTGAACGTGGGTGGAGTGGGGAGGCTGGTCTCTGCATCTGCTGCATTGATTGTTTCTCCCCAGGGCAGAGTCCAGCCCAGAGGTCAACTACCTTCACCTCTCTCCCCATCCTCCTCCCCTGCCCTGTACCATCACTCCCCCCTCCCTCCCCACCCCTCTTTCCATTTCTGGAATAGGGATGGCTTGGGACCAGCTAATTGAGGGTGAGGGTTTCCCGTCATGGATCTCGTTAAGGATACCCAAAGGCTCAGCAAAGGCCTCTGGGTGGAACTGTTTGTGGAGTATGGAGGAGTGTGTAGCACAGAAGACACCCTACTTAGCAGAGCAGGGGTGGGGGGTGGGGGGAGGGGGTTCCCCCACCTTGGCACTCCCCTTGCTATGAGCTGGGGGAAGAAGAGGATGTGGCCATCACCTCATATGTCACTCTAAGGCCTCCTTTAGTCCTCAGGAGAAGGGATGGGGAGTGTGTGAGTGTGTGCGTGCATGTGCACATTGGAATAGATAAGGGATATGGGGAGGAGAAGGCTGTTCTTTTCTCTCTGAATATATTTGGGGGGCAGGTTTGCCTCCCATGCCCAGGGTTCTCCTCTCCGGTATCTTCCTCCCTCCTCAGTTCCCGTCAGCCTTACTCACATTTCTTAAGTCCTGTTTTTGGGTCCTGGACTCTGCTGACAGCGTCTTCATCCACTTTGTGCAGAGGGAGAGAGCAACGGTCATGCAGAGGAGGGAAGGAGGAGGGAGGGACTGACTGAGGTAGGGGGAGGAGGGACCTTTCCCGGAGGAATGTTGTGGGGAATGAACTATTTGCATAAACAAAACTGAAAAGAAAAAAAAAAATCTGTTTCCAGTTTAAGTTAGTTTTGGTTTTGAATTCCCTGGTAGTGCTGCCACCTGCTGGCCCACTTGGGGGAAGAGACGGTTTTTAGGGACAGAAAAGCCTTTGGTTGGAAACCCAAACTTTTCATTTTCTAAGTCTGATCTGAATACTCCCTCTCTTCAGGGACCTTCCTAGGGACTGCTGCTGTGTTTACAAGATTCCCACCCAAAGTGCAGTGGCAATCACAGTTGAGGGGACTTTCTTTTCTGTACTGTCCTTTTCCATTCACCGGGTTCGTCCTTAGTCACAGCAGCTCTGGTCCAGGAATGGCCACGGTTTTGACACCAAGGATGATGTGACAGAGGAGAATGGATTTTGGCTGCATTGGGACCCTGGCTTACTTTGCCCCTGGATGACACCTCGATATAGAACAGGAATTCTGCACTAGGGTCTGTTTTAAGACTCCTCCTCCCCACCTCAATGAACTTGGCTTCTAGAGAAGCAAGGGCAGCTGGGGAGTGGGTGGAGACATCCTCTTTGCCTCAGCATCTTATAATATTAAGAATTTATGCCCCTGAGCCTCACAATTGCTTAGGGCTAAGTGAAGGGAGTGGCTGTGGACCAAGAGTGACTTGAGAGGAACCCAGACCACTGGGAAGGAGGAGAGCTTTTGTCCCTCCTGTCCACCAGGCATAGTGTCCTGTTTTAAAGGTTTGCTGTTTGTGGGAAGCTTTCTTCATCAACTCCCAATGGTTCAGATGCCTTATGACAATGAATTCCATTGGGAGACTCAGGCTGCAGAGCAGGCCCCTGAGTTCTGAGGCCTTTGTCATGCATCCTGCTTGTTTCCCTTGTTAGATTAATTCCTCTGTCACCACACCCACCCACCCGCTCCCTCCTCATCAATGGTCCACTTACTTAACATGCCAGGGACTTTCCTAGGCAATGGATTGTAAGGACTCAAGAAGACGGAGCAGTTCTCCGTTAGGCAGCAACAAGTCATCGCTGAATACAGTGAAGCAGGCACATGGAGGGTTTCTTCAGCAGGCTTATGTGTCGGAGCTGAGGAATCCATCTTATGGCAGGGCTGATCCATGGCATGACCCATGACATGACCCATGGCCTTGTAAGGTCAGGAAAGACTAAAGATAGGGAGGATAAGGACTAGATCAGGAGTCAAGAAAGAGGGGGACTCTTGTCCAGCAAATTGCACATTAGCATCCTGACAGCAGTGTGTGTGTGTGTGTGTGTGTGTGTGTGTGTGTATGTGTGTTCATGGTGGGGGCAGGATGGCAGAGGTAACGGAAGGAGGAGGTGCTCTGAAAAGGTAAGTCTTTTTTTTTAATGTATTTTATTGATTTTTTTTTTTTTACAGAGAGGAAGTGAGAGGGATAGAGAGTTAGAAACATCGATGAGAGAGAGACTTCAATCAGCTGCCTCCTGCACATCCCTTGGGGATGTGCCCGCAACCAGGTACATGCCCTTGACTGGAGTCGAACCTGGGACTTTTCAGTCCACAGGCTGATGCTCTATCCACTGAGCCAAACTGGTTTCGGCCTTAGAGAATTTTTAATGGTCTTTGTATTATATACTATTGAACTTTGTAAAATAGAAGTTAACCTTTAACTGTATAGCTAACTTGATTTTCAATACTAGCAAATTTGCTCTCTTCTCCGTTTCATGTATTTTATTTGCAACGTTTACTCTAAATCACCAATATGTCCTCACTAAAAATTAAATAGCTGGTCCGCTCAGATGGACGATGGCCCAGGGTGTCCAGCAGCACTGGAGGGGTCTGTGAGAACATCCAGCTCAGGGCTGGGCTCAGGAGATGGGGTGTCTGCAGGAGATGGGGCCCCAGGAAAGTGTGAGCTCAGTGCCATCCTCACCACTGAAGCAGGAATTCCCAGGGAGAGAGTATCTGTAGGGATGTGGGGTTGGGAAGGGGAAGTGGGCGATACAACAAGTCTTGAGGATGGCTGAGAAGTGTAAAGGTGGACTGGAAAGCACACGGCCTTGGCTGTCCCAGACAAGCTGTGGCACTTGGGCAAGTCACTTTACCCCTCTGAGCTTCAGTTTCCTCGTTTAAAATGGGAGCCAGCGGAGTGGGGAAAGCTTTGCATTGAGTCTTGAAAAAACACTCCCACAGAAATAGTGTCCAATAGTTCATAGATGAAAAGTTGATCCATACATTTACTAACAAAGCTTAAAAGTAAGCCTGAAGCCCGAGCCTATTTGGCTCAGTGGATAGAGCGTCAGCCTGTGGACTGAAGAGTTCCGGGTACGATTCCAGGCTCAATCCCTACCAAGGACACATGCCCGGGGTTGCGGGCTTGATACCCAGTAGGAGGATGTGCAGGAGGCAGCTGATAAATGATTCTCTTTCATTGATATTTCTTTCCCTCTCCCTTACTCTCTGAGATCAATAAAAAATATATTTAAAAAAAATAAGCCTGAAAAGATCAAGTAAATTCCAATAAAACCTGCATCCACATCCTCTTTATCCAATCATGTACTGAGGGACATTTCCATAGCCTGTGATACATATATACAATGGAATACCCCTCAGTCACAAGAAAAGATGAAACAACTGCCATTTGGGACAACCTGGATGGATCTGGAGAATGTCTTGCTAAGTGAAATAAGTCAGAGATTAAAAAGCCAAGAACCATACGATTTCACTCATGTGGCATATAAAACTGAAAGTGATAAATGAACAAACAAACAAACAAAAACTCATAGACACAGACAACAGAACAGTGGTTACCAGAGGGGATGGGGTGAGGTAGTAAAGAGTGTAGGGACTCAAATATACGGTGATGAAAGGAGACTTGACTTTGGGTGTATTCACAACGCAATATGCACATGATGTATTATAGAATTGTACACTTGAAAATATAATTTTATAACCAATGCCATGCTAATAAATTTAATTAAAAAACTGTATCTAAAAAAGAACTCCAACAAAATGTAAAGGAGTAAAATCTATAAACCTAAGAGGAGAAAATAAAATGTGGGTCATAACACATCCTTTGCAAATTTGCTGAGAGGAGTCAATGAAATAACATGTGTGAAAGCTCCTGGTGTACAGAATATGTAACAAAAACCGCGCCGTCACTGTAATTGCACCTGGGAGTTGTGGTAGGTGGTGTAGCTGACAGTTTGAATATTTGAAGGTCAATCAAAGAGATCTGGGAATGTTTCAAAGATGAAATGCCATTGAAACCACTTCCCTCATACACCACTTGAACAGGGAGATGAGAGTGAACCTCAGCAGAAAGTAAAGTTCAAGGTGAAACTCACTGAGATGTTCAGGGCTTCCCTGGGCGTTGTTCAAACTCACAGGAAGGTGGAGGGTGAGGAGGGATTGGGGGGCCCCCTTCTTATCTGGGGTGAGACAGCCTTGAGCAGAGGAGGAGTTCTCTCTCAGTGACTCGGATAAGGACTCCTTGCCCAACCCCTCTCCACCCACAGGACTCAGTCTTCATCTCAACACTCTTATTCTGGGGCTTCCACAGTGCCAGTGTCATTGCTCAGTGCACCAGGGTCAGCCCTTCCCAGCCATCACTTCCTTGATCCAGTCCATGTAATTGAGCACTTTGGTGTAGAAGCCGTACCCTTTGCCACACCCAATGCCCCAGGATACGATGCCTGTGGCTACCCAGTGATGGGCATGGTCATCCCACACTACATAGACGCTACCGCTGTCCCCTTGGCAGACACTCTGCTGCCGTGCCTTATCCCCGACACAGAACATGTTATCAGAAAACACCTCAGCCCTCTGTTTCTCTTGAAGCCAGGCCTTGCAGGCCTCCCTCGGGGCAACAGGCAGCCTTGAGTATTTCAACTCGGTAGTTAGCCAGCCCATCTGCACACCAAACCCACTGACATAGCCCATCAGGCCACTGCGGTAGAGGGTCTCGTTGTCGGGCAGACAGACTGGGAGGAGGTGGGGGCCAAGGGGGACACTGTGCTGGAGTTCCAGGAGGGCAATGTCCCCACTGAAGTTGTGGGACTCGTTCTGACGGTAGTCTGGGTGCACAACCACACGGCGCACAGGGTGGTTCCCCAGTTTTATCATCTCGTCTATGCCTGTGTGGCCCAGGAACACGTTCACATTCCTCTTCTTCCCGGGAAAGATGATGTCCTTGGGGTAGATGGTGTGGGCTGCCGTGAGGATCCATCTGTCACCCAGCAGGGCTCCACCCCCACGGCCATAGATACTGGTGAAGGCTTGCCAGGGGAAGTTGCCCAACTTGGCTTTGGAAGAACCCTGGGCCTCCTGGTTCTGGGCGATGGGGGTGACTGGCTGTCCACAGACTGGGAGAGAGGAGACAGGAGAGGTAAGGGTGAGAAACCAGCATCAAGTCACAATGATTAAGGACCTACTTCTATGAAGTGCTCTTCCTCCCCCTCTTAGCCATATTAGGCTACTTTTTAAGACTCTTAGTGGGACCACCCTGAGCAAACTCATGTAGCAAGCAGAGTTTGCCTTCAGTGTCTCTTGTCTCTGTTTTATGTGTAATTTCTTCATTAAAAAATATTTCTATTGATTTTTAGAGGGAGAGATGGAGGGACAGAAGAAGAGAGAGAGAGAAACATTAATGAGAGAGAGAGAAACATTGATTGGCTGCCTTCTGCATGCCCCCTACTGGGGGCGTGCAAAATCTAACTGGTGACCCTTTGGTGCATGGGATGATGTTCAACTAACTGAGCCACACCCACGGCCATTTCCTCATTTTTAACATCTCTCACTACTACTCTCCTCCAACTCACTCTAAAGTCCTCCTTCAGGTTGCCCCTAGAGCTTTTTGTGGATCAGGAGTAAAATCTGAAAAATTTATTCAAATGGGTTAGAAAGGCAATGGTTTGACTAAAAAAAAAAAAAAATGGGTTTCAAAAATGGTAGGCTTGAATCGTCATATACTGCTGATGGGAATTTAAAATGGTATAACCATTGTGGAAAACAGTTTGGCAATTCCTCAAAAAGTTAAATATAGAGTTATGATAGAAGCCAGCAATTCCATTCATAGGTATATACTCAAGAGAATTGAAAACATACATTCAAACAGAAACTTGTACATGAAGGCTCATAGCAGCATCTATACTAATAAAAGGGTAATATGCTAATTAGACTGAACATCTTCTGGATGTGCTTCTGGACAAAGCCATGGTGGTGGGGGCTGAGGCAGAAGCAGTTAGGGGTGATCAGGCCAGCAGGGGAGGACAGTCAGGGGCAATCAGGCCAGCAGGGAAGAGAAGTTAGGGGGTGATCAAGCCAGCAGGAAAGGCACTTAGGGGTGATCAGGTCAGCAGGGGAGCAGTTAGGGGGCAATCAGGTCAGTAGGCAGAGGGAGTTAGGGGAGATCAGGCTGTCAGGCAGAGGCAGTTAGGGGCAACCAGGCAGGCAGGCAGGCGAGTGGTTAGAAGCCAGCGGTCCTGGATTGCAAGAGGGATGTCCAACTGCTGGTTTAGGCTAGATCCCAATGGGACATCCCCCAAGGAATCCCAGATTGGAGAGGGTACAGGCTGGGCTGAGGGACCCCCCTCCTGTGCATGAATTTTATGCACCAGACCTCTAGTTGTCTATAAAGGGCAAAAAGTGGAAACAATCCAAATGTCCATCAATTAATGAATGGATAAACAAAAACACAGTGGGATTCTATTCACTTATGAAAGGATTGAAGTATGGATACAAGCTACAATGTGGATAAATCTTGAAGACATTATGCTAAATGACAGAAGCCACACACAGAAGGCCACATATTGTATGATTCCATTGATATGAAATGTTCAGAATAGGCAAGCCCATGGAGACAGAAAACAGATTAGTGGTTGCCAGAGGATGGGGAAGGGGAGAGTTGGAAGGACAGTGTGTTTCTTTTTGGGATGATGGGAATGTTTTAGGATTGGTGGTAATGGTTGCACAACATTGTAAATACACTAAAAATTACTAAATTGTACACTTTAAAATGGTGAATTTTTCACTATATGAATTTTATTTCAGTAAAACAAACAAACAACAAACAAACAAATAAAAAAGGTGGACTTTCTGGTCCTGTGGGATCTAAGAAGGGAGATGTTCTGGTGACAGAGAGACTATCCCTAAAGCATTCCATATCAAGAGAGGGCTTTCTCTTATTACAATTCTGTCCCTCTGTCTCCTTCACTTTTCCATCTGATTAACTTCATGCTTTTGCTTCCTTAGTTATCTTTTTTAAAAAATATATATATATTTTTATTGATTTCAGAGAAGAAGGGAGAGGGAGAGAGAGAGAAACATCAACAATGAGAGAGAATCATTTATTGGCTGACTCCTTCATGCCCCAACACTGGGGATCGAGCCTGCAACCTAGGCACAACCTGGGCATGTGCCCTGATAGGAATTGAACTGTGACCTCCTGGCTCATAGGTCGATGCTCAAACACTGAGCCACACCAGCTGGGCTTGGTTAACTCTTGATCTTTGGAGAATATGGGACAAGCTCCTTGCCTCTTCTTTTCTGGACCTTCTTGGCTTCCCTCTTCTTCCACCCCTTCTGCCTTTATTTCCTCTTTCTATTTGAAGGCTTTCCTCTAACCCCCTGTATCCTGGTCCTCAGGCCCCTGTTTGGAAAGTGGCCATAGTCACAGCACTGGTAGGTCACTACTCACCAGGCACACAGTGAGGAGTCTCCTCTTTGTCCAGCGTCTCTTTCCCAGGGCTCTGGGCTCTGCAGGTGAGTGTCTCTGAGGAGTGAAATGAGGTGAGGCTCAGAACTGGGAGGTGGGGCTAAAAAAGTTGGTGTCACAGGCCCCTTGGAGGAAGTAAGGCAGATAGATGCTGGTTCCCCATCAGGTGGGGACTCACCTGCTGGCACCGCCTGATAATAGGGCTCCTGGCAGTGGTTCTGGATCTTGGAGGAGTTGTCTCCAGGGGTGTGTGCGGCCTCAGAGCTGCCACTAACTTGGCTGATGGGCCGATTATGGTTCATACCTATAGGGAAAAAAGTGGTCATTAGGACCTAGATCAGAATTGCAAACTGGCTCCCCAGAGAGTGATCTGGCCCATGGCCATATTTAGTTTGATCTATATAAAGTGGTTCTTGTTTTCTTTTTAAACATTTGAAGTATTTTTCACTGATCAGATGGTCAGCGCTAAAGAACAAATAACTAGGACTGTGATGGGCAAACTGTGGCTTGTGAGCCACATGCATCTCTTTGGCCCCTTGAGTGTGGTTCTGCCACAAAATACCACGGCCTGGGCGAGTCTATTTTGAAGAAGTGGCATTAGAAGAAGTTTAAGTTTAAAAAATTTGGCTCTCTAAAGAAATTTCAGTGGTTGTACTGATGATATTTGGCTCTGTTGACTAATGAGTTTGCCGACTTAGGATATGGGGGAGCAGGCATTTTCAGATTAGTGGGAGTGTAGGAGGGAAATTTAGCAATACCAAAATTAAAAATGCATTTTTTTCCACATAGCATTTTAATTTTTAAGAATTTACCCTCATATGTGTGCTCCAAAATGTATATATAAGATATCCAGCAGTACTATCTGTGGCAGCAAAATATTTACCAGTGGAAGACTGGTTAAACACATTATGACACCAATCAAAGGAATACTATATGGCCATTAAAAGTAATTATGCAACACTAGCTACATATATATATGGGATGATCTTTAAGATATATCAATGAGTGAAAAATGCTAAATTTAAAACATTGTGAATAGTATGCATGCAATACACACTCACACACACACACAGACCCATCCACCCACGCACCCACACAATTATATTTGAATGACATAGCTTATCTTTGGAAGAGTACCCAGGAAATGGAGAGCATAGTTGTTTCTGGACAAGACTGCCAGCAACTAAAGGCCAGAGATCAGAGAAAGACTAACTCTTTACCATTTTTAAAATATTTTTATAGTGTGCATATATTATCTTTCAAGAAATTATGAGTTACCAATTGAAAAGCAATTGGTAACCTTTGGCTTCTCTTGCAAAACAAGATGATCTGCAAGTTCAGGGCCAGTAAATAGTCATGGAAACAACTGTTGAGCAATGGCTGCCCTTTAACTGCCAGCTCATCAGCAGGGGCCTGGAGGGGGCAGGGAAGGTGGGCCTAGGTGTTCCTGAGCCCAGTGTCAATAGTCACTCAAGTTTCCGCTTGTAGCTTCAAGACACCAGGGCCATGGCTATGGGCACAGAGTGCACCCCTAGAGAGACACTCACTCACGGCTTGGTAGAGGACCAGGAAGCCCTTGTGGGGTCCAGTTGTCCTGTCCTCAGAGGAGGCCGGTGCACGGAAAGTCAGCTGCAAACTATTCCCTGAGGACACAAACTCCCTCTGACCTGGGAGGCTGCCCAGCGGAGAGCCCACATGGCCATAGAGCCAGCTTGGATCCATCCCACTCGCTGTGATCTGAAAGGAGAGGGGGGCAGGCAGGTGTGGTGTGAATCTGCAACATAAGGGGTCACAGGGTCACATCATGGGTATGGGCTTCATCCCCATCTAGGAGGTCTGCACACTTTGGGGATGAGGAGCTGTTCTCTGTGGAATCTTGCTCAAGTAGATTCCTGTTCCATTTTGACAGTTTCTTCCAGACCTTGCATATTTCTTTAGCCTACTATAATTATCTCATAAAGTCTACCATATTTACCTTCTTTCAAGAAGCTCCTTGGGAACAGCGTCAATAACATCATAACAACTTTGTTTGGTGACAAGATGGTTACTAGGCTTATCATGGTGGCCATTTTGTAAAGTATATTAATATTGAATCCATATAGTGAACTCCTGAAACTAATGTAATACTTTTTATCAATTATAATTAAAAGTAAATAACTAAAAAAGAAGTTCCTTGGAAATCCTAGGGTTCTCCCAATAGTCCACTGGATTGTAAGTTCCAAGAAGGCAGGAAGTACACCTATTCTGCTGACCACTGAATCCCCGATGCTCAACAGGATGCCTATAGCACCACGGCTTCGAATCAACGACAATGCAGACACACGTCCCCTCCATCCGCTTTCTCCAACCCCATCACCTTCCTCTTCTCTGAGTACCTTCCTGTGGGCCAACATCTGTGACGCAACAAGACCCTCTGCAAACACTTAGCTGGGGTGCCTAGTCTTTCCTGTTCTCCTTCTTTTGGAGTGTCCCTCCTCTTACCCCATGAACGGTAAATCAAGCCCTACAAGGTGTGGGAATCCAAGGACACAAGTGTACACAGTGTGGATACTCTGGCTATTGTTGTTTAACTTACATGTTCTTTAAGCAGGCTGTCTCTGTGTCAGACCCTTTTGACTGCGTTGCCCCTGCTCAAATTCCTTTCTCTGGGTTCCCCAACCCAACGCAGGATACTTTGGAAGGAGTTCCTTTGCCTCGTGCTTCATGTTTAGTTTCTATTCTGGGCACATGGCTCACTGCTCAGCTCATTTTATGGACTTATTTTTTAAATTTTATTCCTGATTTCATATTGGCCCACATCTGGAGTTCTTGCCAGTTCTTCACTCGCTATTTCTTCCAAAGTCTCACATTCCTTTAAGAGGCTATCCAGCCTATCTCACTGCGATCACATTAACTGGGTAAAAGTTGGTATGAAGAAAATGTCTCTGTCATCCCAAATGCCTTGCTTGGGCACATTCCAATACTGTTACTTTCCTCAGAACAACAGCAAACTTAAGCCCCATATTTAAGAGGCCCATTATCTCCTGGGGAAGAAGCCTTTTGCGCTCTGAAACTGTCCTTTACTGATCTAATTGGTTGTCAAACTCTTCTTTTTAGCTTCCTCACAAGTTTTTGGCTAAATAGAATCACTTAGGAGTCTAACTAGCAAAGTAGAACAAAGTAGCTGTGAGTCCTAAGACTTTGCTCCTAACTCCCTAGGTGACATGGGCAGTTGCTCAGCCACTTCAGATCTTAGTTTCATATCCTGTAAAGTGGTCTTTGAGGCCTCTTGCTGTCAGGGCAGCATGTCCTATAGCAGCTTTCCAGCATGTCCCTGAAGAGCAATGGTGAAGATGACACGAAATACCTGCTCATTCAAAATTCATTGTGCTATGTGTCCTACACGTATGGTGAGCTTGGGTTTCATTTATTCTTTCATTTATTTCTTTGAGAGTTATTATGCTCTATGTGCAAGACACTATGTTAAGTGCAGGAATACAGACTTGAATAAGACATGGTTCTGCTACCTAGGAGCCCATAGTCTGGTTGAGAATATTGCATTTGAGGGGTGTGTGTGTGTGTGTGTGTGTGTGTGTGTGACTTGCCCTGGCAGCAGAGAGGATAAAAGAATTCTATTCCTGAGCTTGAATTTCCTCAATGACAAGGGAAGAGTCAGTTTGGGCTTAAAATTGCCCATGACTAATAAGAACAGGGCTCATTTTAGGTGTAATAGAACAGGTTGAATTGAATATAGTCTTGGCTTCTGGTGAAATAAAGCTTTAAACATACATTTGTCTCAAATCCCATTAATATGACAGCAAAGGGATGAAATGGGGTATTCATGATTAAGGACAAAACAGAGAGAGAGGACAGCATATGAGTGATGCCAGTAATATCTTGAAAGGTGGAATGGGGACGCAAAAGGGACAGCCTGACTGCAGAAGTGGAAGCCAACATAAAGCAAGCAGGTTCTCATAGCAGAAATTAGGATAACCAGGCACCCCTGAAGATGGGGAGGAGGTAGAGGCTAATAGGAGCCTATGTAGGGAGACCTCAGGATTCTGGATCCCTTTGCCCACCTTATGCATCCAGATAACTTTCTGGCTCACCCTGGCAGGAGACCTGAGCGTGAGTCAGAGACCCTGGACTTGGGATCCCCTGGGACACTTGATTGAGGGAGTGAGGCCAGAATTGAAAACAGAACGGTTAGGTGAAAGACTACACATCAAACAGTGAGATGCTACTGCTTGTTTACTAGAAGGCTGGCAACTCTGATCAGGAGACCAGAGGATTCCTCTCTGAGGCCGGCTGTCCCCAAAGAGAGTACTTCTGTATACTGACATTGGGAGCCCCCACAGACGTCTAAGTCACCTTGTTGATAACGCTGTTTTCAAACATGTTTCATAAATTTCAGCTATCACCCAGAGCATCCAATATCATTCTAGTACTTCATTCTTAAATATGAGTGGACAGCCAAGGATTATCCAACATTGAAGGAGAGATGAAAAGCAGAGACGAAAACAAATGAAGAGTAAAAAAGAATGCGGATGAAGTAGAGATAACACAGGGACTAGAAGGAACATTTTAAAATGATTCTATTATAGGGAAAAGAGTATTGCTTAGTAAACAGAAACAGTATTCTATAAAAAGGTACATTTAGGAAGTAAGAACGAGGCTTTAGACATAAAAATATATCAACAGAAAAACTATTACAGTTGGTATTTAAAAGGAGGAAGTCTCCCAGAAAGTGAAACAAAAAGACAAGGAGATGGAAAACACAACAGAACAAATAGCAAGACTAGAGAATCAGTCCCGAACATACAGCAGCTAAATTACAGGAGCTCCAGAAATCAAAAATAAAGTGAGTAGATGTCTGGAAATAATTCAAGAAATAATACAAGAACATTCCTAAAATTGAAGGACTAGATTAAAAGAGTCTCTAGATTCAAAGAACTCTTTAAAACCAGTAAAAAAGCACATCAGGGCATATCATACTGAAAGTTCAGAATACTGGTAATAAAGAAAATATTCCAAAAGCTCTAGAGAGAAAAAAAAAACAAAAAACTAAGGGCCAGGAATCAATGTTATCAGACTTAATGAGAGCCAGAAAACAATGCCATAAAATTTCTGAGAGAAAATGACTTCTAACCCAGAATGCAACCTGGTTAAACAATCCATCAAAAGTGAGGGCAGAACAAAGACATTTAAGGTTATGTAAGAGCCTCTGAAATTCACTCCCACAAACCTATCCCGGAGGAGAAAGTGCTCCTACAAAAATGAGGGAGTAAACCAGGAGCGACATGGTGATGGGATTCAGTTCCAACTCAGAACAGGCAAAGGGAATCTCCAGCATGAGGGAGAAAGGGACTCCCAGAAGTGAAGGCTTAGAGAGCAAAGAATTCAGACTGAAGGAATAAATCATCAAGAGGTCTGCAGATGGGTGTCACCAATAAAAAAGAGGACTCAGAGATTGACATTTGTACTTGAATGTGCTGAGAAGAGTTTTTACTCTCCTGGCTATGAGTTTGGGGAGGTTAGTAACATAGAGCTAGACAAACCAAAGATTAGAACAAAAACCAACAAAAAATTCCAAAGAACTCCATGTAATTATTGCCTCCTGGGAAACCAAAGTTGGAGAGAAAAAAACAGACCTATAATTATTGTACTCCATCGGCTCAGATCTGAATATTTTCAAGTTATAATAATATAAACAATGACTTTAGATTTAATAAAAAACGACAGTATGGGTAAACTGGAGGGATGGAGGAGGGGAAACATAGGTGGTGAAGTTCTGAGATAGAGCTAGTTTTATCATAGAAGTTAATGGGCGATATTACTAGACAGACATGAGCAGAGCAAGGCCAGGCAGAGAAACTCACCAGGGCAGAAAGCCCCAGATGCCTAGCAAGGGGGAAAACTAGGAAAACAAGAACCTCACCCCCAGGTAACCTAGCATATCATGCGGTTTGGACCTCTGATCTTTCATATTGCTGGTCAGGTGGTTTAGACCCCCTGACCTTTTCCTCCTTAAAGATAACATTATGCTAAGTGAAATAAGCCAGTCAATGAAAGAAAAATACCACATGATCTCACTCATTTATGGATAATAAAGAACATTATAAACTGATGAACAAAAAGATACATACAGAGACAGTAAAGCATCAAACAGACTGTCAAATTACAGCAGGAAGGTTAGGGAGAGGTGGGGGAGATAAGAGATCAACTGAAGGACTTGTATGCATGCATAGAAGCATAACCAATGGATGCAAAACACTGAGGGGAGGGGAGGGCAAGCGTAGGAGTGGGGGGACAATGGTAAGACATGTACACATATAATACTTTAATAAAAAATTTAACACCCCCCCAAAAAAAGAAAACAAACAAAAAATAAAACAAAACAAACAAACAAAAAGATAACATCAAGGCCTCAGTTGTATTTCAGCTCCAGGACTAGAAAAGCAGCAAAACCTGACAAGTGATGCTATGGCTGCTTCAGGATAAGCTACGTTGACTAGTAACTCCCCCTGCCCTGGCACTGACCAATCAGTAGAGCACACCTAGAAAACTGATGAATATTCTATTAAGACTCTCCCCTGAGACCTCCCCTAAGATTTCCACCTGCTAGAGAGAGATAAATATGCTTAGGACAAAGGACTCAGTGCACACTCCCCCCCAGGAGAGCAGGCCAGCACCATTACCTTCTCCCTTCTTTTGTCTAAGGGACCCCAGGAGACTTGTAACCAGAGGAGCAATGGGCAGGGGCAGCTCCCCTCAGGCTATCACTCCAGGCTAACCCTCCCACCCCCAACTTGTCTCCTGGACCCCCTTTTCTCTGACTTCTCAGTGAGCCAACGCAGCCCAGCCAAGGCTTTCCAGTTGCTTCTTCCTCTGGCCTTCCTTGCTTCACTGTCCTAAGGATATTGTTGCTGCCATCATGGACCCAATACCCGTTGGCTCAGTGTTGTGTAGCCCTTCCTTTTGAAAAAAATATATTTCTTTATTGATTTCAGAGAGGAAGCAAGAAGGAGAGAGAGATAGAAACATCAATGATGACAGAGAATCATTGATCAGCTGCCTCCTTGCACGATCCCCACTAGGGATTGAGCCCACAACCCAGGCATGTGCTTTTGGCTGGAATCAAACCTGGGGCCCTTGAGTTGACAGGCTGATGCTCTATCCACTGAGCCAAGCTGGCTAGGGCTAGCTCTTCCTTCTGGATATCTCTAACTCCTATCCCCTTTTCCTTAAATAAATTAAAATTTCTTTATTCACTGCCTGAGTGAATAAAGAAATTATTCACGGCTATTTAGCCTGCCTGTGCATCGCCAGCTTTACCCTTTCAAATGTGTTTTAAAAAACACAAACAAAACCAGAGTAAGCATGTTATTGATACAGATGAAAATAACTACCCGATGAAAGAGCTCCATGAATTGTAACTAATTGCCCGGGAGAGTAGATGGAGGCGGGGAGTAGGCTGGAGACAGCTGTTTCTCTTTACAGGCCTCGTAGTACTCAGATGAAAAAAACAACAACAAGAACCTTGTGCATGTATTATTTTGATATAAATAAAACTTAAACCAAAAGATAACGTGAGGTACTGTTTTCAGAGTGTCCTTATTCTGGTAATGCCCTAGTCATAAGAACTTTTGCCATAGCTCCTCTAAGGTAAACCCAGTCACCAAATCTTTTGTTATTATTCATGCCCAGCTGCCTGTCCTGACAGAGCAAGTATTCAGGTGTGTTTAATGACTGATGTGTGAGTCCTTGCTCTTTATTCTAGGGATTGGCAGTATTTGTGCGTTCCTTTGGGGCCAAGATGGTAGCAGAGCCAGCGACAGGGCTGCTGGCTGAGGCTGTGCACCTGAGTAGACCCTGGCCTCCCAGGTAAGCCCGCCTGTGCCCCTCCCTGACTTGGGCTCTTCATCCATTCACTGAGATTCAGGGCACTGCCACCTCCCACTGCCCCCCTGGGCTCCAGGCCAGGAAGATCCCTCCCCAGAGTCCCTCCAGGACCCCAGCTCACTGTGACAGAGTCCGGCTCACAGTCCTGGGACAGCTCCACGCCCGAGTCCTGCAAGATAAGCTTCACAGCAAAGCCCTCCGGGGCCTGGATGACAGTGGTGCTCTCTTGGCCTTTGAGGTACGGCTCTGGGTACCCTGGGGACGTCAGCTGCTGGGGTAGCTGCTGGGCCAAGAGCACAGAGTCCTGTGTGGGGCAAGCCTGGAGGGCTCCCCAGAGAAGCAGCCACCACCTGTGAGGGGTGAAGGGCAAGATGAGGCCTGTGGAGTCATGAGGAGTCGGGGTAGGCTATGCCAAGGGACTGAGGGGCCAGCAAAGGCATTAGCAGCTGTGGCCTCAGCCCTGCCTGTTCCCTTAGTGCCCCTCTCTGCCCCAGTTCCTTCAGCCTTCTGCGTAGCCTGAGCTCCACAGTGAGTTTCCCACCACTGCTTATCTCCCTGGAGAGTCTCATACAGAGTTGGGGGCTACCTTCTGCGCCAGCAGATCCCACGGCCACCCTGGGATCTGAGGGAGACATGGTGGTACAAGTGAGGGACAGTTAAATGTTAGTTTCCTGGCTCAGACCATTGGGCTTGATCTCCCCCAGGAAAGGCTGCTAGAAGCTACGGGCAATTTCTAAGTCCTCTCTTCATTAAGTGGCTCTCTCTCTCTCTCTCTCTCTCTTCCCCCTTCCCCCGGTGTGTGTGTGTGTGTGTGTGTGTGTGTGTGTGTGTGTGTGTGTACATACACCCCTGGGTCCCACCCAATCCTTTTCCTCTCCGCCAGGCCCTCTCCAAGGGACACTCACATCATACGTGCACAGCTGGTGGAGTTGGGGCTTTCCCAGAGATAATTCTCTACCTCTGAGACCAGGCATCTGAAATGGGCCATCTGGGACCTTGGAGAGGACTTGGCCCAGGTTAGGGAACAAGAGGTGGGGCTGGAGAGGGCCCTGAGGGGGAGGGAGGGAGCGGTTACTGGAAATGGGTTGAGTAATTCTCTGGTTCCTTTTTCAATTCTCTGGGTTGAGTGCCACCTACTGTCTAGCTTGGGGATAGCTCACCCACCACAACTTGAGGGGAAAAAATTCTAAAACGACTAAGGGGCTTCAGAGATCAGGGGTGAGAGCACACTGACTCTGGACTCTCTTGGACTATCTGTACAAAACAGTAAATAGTAGGATGGCTCCTTGTGAGTTATGGCTGTTGCCTCTCATCCTCCCTGACTTTCCACTCATTTATGTTACCAGCCTACCTATTGTCGAGATTGAAGTTTGTGAACTTGAGCTTCTCCACCAAGCAAGTCTGGGGCCCTCACTTAGGTAATCTTTTGCTCACAACCCCTGGAAGCTGCTCGTCCACCAGGGTCAAGTTGGCCCAGGGTTGGGATTAGGCCCCAACTGCAGCTTCTTTAGGCAGATGCCAGCAGCCATGACTGGGCTCAGATGCCAGGCTCCCTAAGAGAGACAGTCATTCACCGCTTGATACGGGGTCAGGAAGTCCCTGTGGAGGCCAGTGGTCCTGTCCTCAAAGGAGGCAGGTGTGTGAAAGGTCAGCAGCAGCCCCTACAACAGGGCTGTGATCTGAAAAGGAAGGGATTGGGGCAGGGAAAGGGCAGGCAGGTGTGGAGGATTCTGCACCACTCGTGGCCACAGGGTCACATCCTTTAATACAGTTGCCTAAGACCATCGGAAAACACAGATATTTATATTACAATTCATTAACAGTAGCAAAATTACAGTTATGAAGTAACAACGAAAATAATTTTATGGTTGGGGGTCACCACAACATGAGGAACTGTATTAAAGGCATTAGAAAGGTTGAGAACTGCGGCCTTAGGGGCATTCCCAAGCCATCTGTGAGGCCTGGGCTCACACCACCAATGTCTAATGGAGCTCCTAGCCCATACGCAGGGTCAGGAAATATGTGTGGTTGAATCTTGCAAGTATGGCTAGAAAGTCTCTTAGCTGGCTTCTTCCCTTCTTCCTCCCTACACTAACCCTCAAATCCTCCTTTATTCAGCCCCACTGTTGCTTTACAATTTTTTCCTGCTACCACTCTTTAGACCTGACTTTTCCTTCTTTCTCCACACTCACAGAATACTCCTGCTTGCCTCCAACAAACACATATGGTTGTAACTCAACTATTTAATAACAGTGAAAAAAATTTAAAGATACAGATATCCTGAAAAACGGTACATTTCTGTATGCTTTTGATCCTGTAACGGTAATAAGGAGCTTCTTCCGGGCTCTCTCTGGGTCATTCCAAATGACCGGGCTCCTTCCCAAGCACCATTCCTCTGGGGTCCTCTCCTTCCTAGAGCCCAAGGTTCAGCTTGGGGGGGGGGCAATCCCTGTCACCCCCATTCCATGAAGTAATCTCTACTCCGGTGCATGCATGCTGCTCAGGTCCTGGGTGTGTATGTTCTCTTCCTTCTCATTGCTCTGCTTTTATCTGCCCCTCATCTTCCTTTCCTCCCTTTCTCCAGGCCTTTGTGCTTTCACTTTCATCCTCCTCCTTGATCTATCGATAACTTCAGCTCTGACAATGTCCTCTCCGCTGAGCGTCTTATTGCCCCATCTTCCTGGGGAGCCTCTGACTCCAGAAGGAAGTTTCTTATTGGGCTTAAGGATTTTTATTGTCTGGTTGGCCAGCTGGTGTGGATCAGTGGTTGAATGTCGACCCGTGGTTCAATTCCTGGTTGGTCCATATGCCTGGGTTATGGGCTTGTGTGTAGGAGGTGGCTGATCTATGATTTTCTCTCATCATTGATCTTTCTATCTCTCTCTCCCTCTCCCTTTCTCTCTCTGAAATAAATTTAAAAATGTGTTTTAAAAGAAGAATTTGTGTTGTTTTCCAAGTAACAGGGGCCCAGTAGAGATGAGAACCCCATGATCAGAGCCTCTGTCTTTCTTATGATTACCCTAGGGAAGGGGTGCTGCAGGCCACCAATAAATTCCGAATCCTGAGGTAACTGAACTCAGGTTTTACTGCGTCTCTCTTCTTTTCCTTTTAAATTTATTTTTCAATTACAGTTGACACACCATATTATATTAGTTTCAGGTGTACAACATAGTGATTAGACATTTAGATATTTGTATACCTTATAAAGTGATCCCCTATAAGTTTAGTACCCATATGACACCATAGTGATTACAACATTATTGATTATACTAGAGGTCTGGTGCATGAAATTCATGCAAGGGTAGGGTCCCTATGCCTGGCTGGCAAGCAGGGATAATCTGCAGGGAGGCGAGTGGGGCCCCTCTGGCACCTGGCTTGGCTGACCTGGCACCACCTACTTGCCAGCCTCTCCCCTTGCTGCTGCATTAGGGCCTGTGTGCTGGGGGGAGCTCCTGCATTGAGCATCTGCCTCCTGGTGGTCAGTGCATGTCATAGCAACTGGTTGTTCTGCCGTTTGGTCAATTTGCATATTAGGGTTTTATTATATAGGACTCCATATGCTACATTTTACATCCCTTTGACCATTTTTGTAATTGTCAATTTATATTTCTTAATCCCTTTCGCCTTTTTTTGTCCATCCCCTCCACCCCCTCTCCCATCTGGCGACCATCAGTTTGTTCTTTGCTCCTCTCTTTCCTTTACCAGCTCTTCCCATCAGCTGGTTCCTTTCTTCCCTGGTAGATCACTGAGCCTGGATTCCTCCAATTAATTTAAATAATTGCAGAATCTTAAACTTTCTGATAAGAAATCAAATAGAATAATGGGATTTTATCTTTATGCTTGAAAGGAGGAAAAGAGAATCCCAAAGATATTCTTCTGGTCTAATAGATAAACAATAAATCCACAAATATTTATGCTTTCTGGAAAGCAAAAGGTTAATTAATATATTATGAGTAATAAGTTATCAATGATCTATCAGAATTGCAGACTTTTAACATTTATAGACTACATGGTCATAAAGCAATCATCTTTGAAGTCTGAATGTCTTTTAAGATTCCTTTGTGTAAATTATACGCCAAAGATGACATAAATGTAACATGGAACAGGATTATATATTTTCACACCAGTGAGATTAGATGTTTTTGGTTCTCCACTTTATCAGAATCAACTGTATGAACAGAATCATGTCTGTACATTCTGTCCTCATCTTGCTCAGATTTATTTTGTTAGCATTTGTGAGGCTTGCTGTTTAAAACCAAGCACCAGAATTTCATTTCAGAGGATTTAGAGGGAACAAAGGGCAGGTCTGAGGAGCTTAAAATGCACAAAAGAAAAGAAAAAGTCAAGTGTAAATATTGGACACATTAGGTCTTTCATTTACAATTGTGAGTCAGGTCCCCTCAGTCCAGGCTAAGGGAGAGGGCTTGGCCCCGATGAGGCGATGGGGCTGTAGCTGAGGAAGGCTCTGGGGAGCAGGAGGAGCAGAAAGTTACTGGAAATACGCAGCACTTATCAGCACGACTTTAAATCTCTAGAGCAGACTCCACTGTGGTCTGGCTTAGGGATGACCGAAATATTGGAGCTGATTTTTACCCCATTTGAGGCTTAATATTTCTGAGACCAGGAAAACCTCTTAACCACCCACAATCAGACTTAACTGAAGGAAAAGCTAAAGAAAGTTCTCTGGGGACCATGCCATCTGCCTAGTTGTTGTTTTTAAATTCTCTTTCTCAAAGCCTCTACTTCCATTTCTTTATGCTCCCAGTTTTCTACCCCTGCTTTTCTTTTCCAGGCCAGGTGCTCGGGGGAGAAGAGCGAAGGCCATGTGGCAGCACCAGGACCCGACCTCATTAATATGAGGTGGGGGAGAAGGGAAGCCTTTGGTGAAGGCAGTAGAACTCACCTCCGTGGACTCCTCCTCAGGTTCTGGTCTGCACTGTTCCTCCTTGTCCTGAGTTGGAAACCTGAAGGTTCAGCCAGTGTTTGAGGTCCTGCCTTCTCATTGGGTGTCAGAGCAGGTAAGGTGGCTGGCTGTGGTTTGCTTGGCCCATGATGCTTAGAAGTCCAGGTTGGGGCACAATTTAGGGAGGAAGCAAATGAAATCCCAGAAGAGGAAGCTTTCTACTGACACCTGCAAATAAAAAGCCAGGACCTGCCGAAACCGGTTTGGCTCAGTGAATAGAGCGTCAGCCAGAGGACTGATAGGTCCCAGATTCTATTCCGGTCAAGGGCATGTACCTTGGTTGCGGCCACAGTAGGGGGCGTGCAAGAGGCAGCTGATCAATGACTCTCATCGATGTTTCTAACTCTATCTCTCTCCCTTCCTCTCTGTAAAAAATATATTAAAAAACAACAACAACAACAACAAAAAACCAAACAGGAACAGCCAGCCTATGACCTAGAGGGGCCATTGGAGGAGGAGTGCTGAACCAATCAGTAGATCATAAGGGGTAGGGATCCATAGTATGTTCTTTGTTTCTCTGATCATGTTTCACTATAGCTACTCCTTCATCATCTAGCCATCTAAACACCTACCATGTTTCCCAGAAAATAAGACATCCTCCGAAAATAAGACCTAGGGCATGGAAAAATAACACATCCTCAAAATAAGATCTAGTGCATCTTTGGGACCAAAAATTAATATAAGACAGTGTCTTGTTTTCGGGGAATCAGGGTAGTAGTAGCCCTAACAATACTGGTGACTTCTGCGTTTATTGCCACCCACCCTGACTCACTTTATTTGAATCACTCATCACTGATTCACTTTATTGTTGTTGACTCTGATAGGCCTAGCAAGATCATTAGTACCATACCCACAAGGGTATTGATTGGTTGCCTCCTGCATACTACCCACTGGGGATTGAGCCTGCAAATCAGGCATGTGCCCCGAACCACAACCTCATGGTTCATAGGTTGGTGCTCAACCACTGAACCACACCAGCCAGGCAAGCAATAGAAACTTTAAGAAAGAACCAAATGTAAAGTCTAGAACTAAAAGATGCAATATATGAAATTTAAAAAATTACTGTAA